AAACAATATACGCCTGCGGGGCATACCGGAGGATATTAAGTCAGCAGAACTACAAGATTTCACGATAAAATTATTTCAAATAATGTGTCCGGATCTTCCAGAAGCAGACCTGCGCCTGGACCGTATACACCGGCTTGCCAAGCCACGATTCCTTGCAGCCTCCATGCCAAGGGATGTACTCACTAGGGTACATTATTTTACCTCCAAAGAATGTATCATGAAAGCAGCAAGATATAGGGATGGCATCCCAGAAGAATATGCTGGCATACAGTTCTTCACAGATTTGTCGGCCACGACGCTAGCTAAACGCAAGGAAATGGCACCGGTCACTAAAGCGTTGAGGAGCGCTGACATACCTTACAAATGGGGTTATCCCACTCGAATCATTGTCAAGAGGAACAGAGTGGAGCACCAAATCCATAATTCCAGCGCAGGCATCCAAATGCTCAAGGAGTGGAACCTACCCGTCGCACCACAAGAGACCGCAGACCCACCTAGCAAGCAACGAAAATCGCCTACAAAAGTTTCAAAGGACTGGATATCACTACCTAAACGCAAATGACATGGACAGAGCCATAAGGAAAGAGAGAGAAGGACAGACGTGGAAGAAAAGACAGAGGCGGGAAGAGAAGAGGAGAACAAAACCGGCAAGAGAGAACAGAAAACAAAGAAAAGAAAGTAGGGGAAGGGAAGGGAAGGAGAGAGGAAGAAGGAAGGGAAAGGAGGAAAAAAAAAAAAAAAACGGACATCCTAGTGGTTGCCATCTCTACCATGGACCTGGGTCACAGTCGTAGAGGCACGTGAGCATATACATATTTGATAGCAGAAGTCAACCTGTTATGTGAAATGCCAATGTCCTGATATGTGTTTTTTTTTCTTCTCTTTCTTGTTCTTTTTTCTTTTCAATATGTTCTCTTAATTGTTGCCTCAATGTCACCTTAACAGACAGGAATGTTATGGTTAAGCGTAGCAGTGTATGTAGCCACCTTGCCTAGCATTCACATCACCCAACTACAATAGGCAAGGAGATAATACAGGGTTATTGGGCAGTTCCTTAAGCCTTAGTACACCCTCCCCCATTTTGGCTCCATAGAGCCGCGGGATCACTTCTCGGTTACGGATGGAAAACGTCTGTACTCCATGTTGTATATAGTTGCCACTTGGCTCCCTACCCTCCTCCCCCGTCTTCCTCCCCACGCCTCATTTGTTTCAGGGTACCCGCCAGAAGCGTCCTTGACTGTGCAGGAAAGGACAAGGCGATACACCTCGCCTATTGCTGTACGCATACCAAGACAAGGTCATAAAGATACACTACTAAATTACAACCTGGTGCGAAATATGCACAAAAAGATTAGGGAAAGCATCACTATATCACATAAATGGCTCTAACAATTTTTTCGCTCAATACCAAAGGGCTTAATTCACCACATAGCCCTAAATGAAGCAAAAAAATTGCGAGCTCAAGTAGCTTTCTACCAGGAAACTCATTTTCTGAGAAACAAAATGCCGAGTTTTTCGTCTAAATTTTACCCTACAGGGTTCCATGTAGGATACAATAAAAAGAAGAGAGGAGTCTCTACAGGGAGTGCAGAATTATTAGGCAAGTTGTATTTTTGAGGATTAATTTTATTATTGAACAACAACCATGTTCTCAATGAACCCCAAAAACTCATTAATATCAAAGCTGAATATTTTTGGAAGTAGTTTTTAGTTTGTTTTTAGTTTTAGCTATGTTAGGGGGATATCTGTGTGTGCAGGTAACTATTACTGTGCATAATTATTAGGCAACTTAACAAAAATCAAATATATACC